GGGCTGGCGCACTCCTGCTTCCGTCTCACCTCGTCCCTCATGCGCCGAGGTGGCTGTGTGCACCCTCACATCATGTGCCGCCGGCAAAGCATCCCCTCCGCCTGATCCCGCTCTGTGGATTTGTTCAGCTTAAACCCCAAGTTTCAAACGCAGAGCAGGATTTAGGATGGGCCTGGAGACCAGAGGCCCCTGCGGCGCTTCGGCAGCTCAGAGCCCTCCGCCCCACCCCGATTCCCAGTCCTCGGCTGCAGGAGCTCCCTGGGCTTGCCCCTGGAACTGGCAGCAGGCCTCACAACCCCGCGGCACGGCTGCCGGGGGGCTCCCCAGGATTTGCGGAGGGGGCTTCTCCACCTGGTCCCCCGTTCAGGGAGCAGAGAGCGGGGGAAGCCTCTGGTGCGGCAGCAGAGTGTTCAAGCGCCCATCATCCTTCATCGCGGAGCCCCTGGTGAAGCCTGCGTCAGAGTCCCCGGACCCCCCAGGCCAGCGACCCCCCTGCTTCTTTTAATCTTCTGCAGATTAGAAATGCTACTCGCACCGGGTGGCCGGCACAGTGCCAGACGCCCCGAGGGGCCTGGTGCCAATTAAGACAAGCCCGCCGGCGGGAAGGAGCGAGCCGCTGATCAAGCGGAGCCGCGCGGAGCCTCATTAAGGCTGGAGTGGAGGAGAGAGAGAGCACCAGACCGGCGCGCAGCTGCAATGAGCGGGAAACCCGGCCCCCTCCCACCCTGCGTCCACGGCGGTGACATGAAATGCAAATCGCCAAGAAGCCCGGAAAGAGACCGGCCTGTGCCGCAACTGCCTTGCGAGGTAGGACAGCTGCCCGTACCAGCAGGATGCGGCCAGCCGGCCCCCGCCTGACCCTGGGGAGGGGGGCACCAGAGCTGCGCGTCAGCCGCCCGCCCGGGAGAGGCCGCAACCGGCTGGGAGCTCCCGGTTCCACAGGTGGGCAGTGGGCGGGTGCTCTGCTGCCCGGTGGCCCTTCAGCAAGCCCCTCCCCAGGCTCCCTCACTCCCTCGCTCAGAAGCCGCCCTCCTGCCTGCCCCATCCAAAGGAAGAGCCGATCCGGATGGCGCCGCATCACGAGGAGGGCTCGGAGTGTAGGACGCAGAATCGTGGGCTCAAGTTGCGGAAGCCGGACTCCGGCTGGACATCAGGAGGAGCTTCCCGACTGCTGGAGCGCTGCGGCAACGGGACCCACGACCCGGGGAGGCGGTGGGCTCTCCCACCCCGCAGGCACCCAAGGTGCAGCCGGGCAGCCCTCTGGAAGCAGCCTAAGTTGGCGCGTGCACCGAGCAGGGGGTGGACCTGATGGCCCTCCGGCCCCTTCCGGCCCTACGCTTCTGTCGCCAATTGCAGCAGCCCAAAACACCCCAAAAGTAATTGGCCAGAGGAAGGCCCCAAAAGTAGTTGGCCACAGGAAGGCCACATAGTAAAAACACCACAGTTATGCTGTCCCAGAAGGGAGGGCAGATAAGAGCAAAACGAACTCTGTGTAACCCACAGCAAACACGCCAGCCTGACCTGGAATACAGTAATCAAAGCAGCAGTGGAAACTGGTTGCAGCCGCCATGAAAGTTGCACATGTGCAGGAATTAAGAACATGGCGAGCCTGCGTGAATCTCGAGCAGATGAGAAAGAGGCATGGGAACTGTCTGGTCCTTGACAGAAGAAAGGACTCTTTCTCCAGCACGGGAGGGGTGCATACGTTGATGTATCGATGCATTAGCTGTGTGTTAGGTGACCGAATTGGCTACCTCGGGTATGAAACGCATGTACTGGGGTGCAACTTTGGAGACACTGCTTTGGGCTGAATGTCCCCTTTTGTCTCCCTTTATGCTATAGTGCACTAGAATAAAGCTGGTTTTGGCTCCAAGTCTCGTCTCGGGCTCTATTTGGCTTGGGTCTGGGGTCCACCCGGGTTTGCCCCAGCTGTTGACCGGCTCAGTCCAGTAACAGTTTCATGATTCTGTGATTCGGACTCTAAGATGTCCTCTCACTGCTGGCCAGCACGAAATTCTTTGCCGGATCCTACGTGCAGCCGCGCACTCTGCCTCTCTGCTCGGCCAGGAGAGGCAACCAGACCCAACGTGATGGAGAGATAAAATGGTAGAACGAAGACAGGAACCCTTCCTCTGTGAATCAGGTTTTGCAGAAGTCACCAACCAGGCCAGTGTGTTGGCAGAAAGAGCCTTTTCTGCACCTTCTGGGCCAGGAGAAGACGTTGGGAAAACGTCACTTTCCGGGCACTGCCTCTACCACTCCCCCCCCCCCCGCAGACTCCCGTTTGGGAAGGCTTGGAAGCCCGGGGAGGGCCGTGCCTCACCCCACGTGGGCCAGCACCGTGGCCAGAGAGGCCGGCCCTGCAGAGAGCTCTAGTCTCCGCCAGCCAGCCTCCGTTTCCCTAACTTTACAGAGCAATCCTGTGCAACGGGGTGGCCATGTGTCCCGCTCAGGAGGGGAGAGTCCTCTCTTTGAAAGGCTGTCCCATTTGAGTCTAGATCAAAAGCAAAAAGACGCCCAAAGCCAGAGGTGGATGTGCGCGAGCCCTTCCCGAAGGCTCATGGGCACCATTTTCTGCACAATCGTAAGATCTCTCCCTATCCATTTACAAGAAGGACTCATGACTGTGCATCCATAAAAGGATTTAGCACAGGGCAAGCGATGCATAAGCAGGCATCCTGCTAGAAAACATGATTCTTTTTAAATTATTTTGCAGGTTAATTTTTTGTAGGGGTTTATTCCCCGCTAGCCAAACAGAGCTGCATCTACTGGAGGAAGCCGGCCGGAAGGACGTGGCTGCATCTGAAACGTGGCGCTGGAGGAGAGCTTTGCAATCTTTGCCTGGCTGAAGGATGAGCAGGTGGGTCCCAGACCACGTGAAGCCACAGCTTCCCTAGAGGCAGAAATGGCCGAACGGAGGCTGCCGTACTCCCGGCACCTCGTGAGAAGGCACAGAGAAGACCATGTCGCTAGGGAAAGTCGAAGGCCGAAGAAGGAAAGGCAGGCCAGATCTGAGATGGACGGACTCCAGGAAAGCAGCCACTGACCTGCACTTGGAAGAGCTGAGCAGGGCTGTCATTTTGGAGGGCACTTAGAAACATGGATATAGAAACCGAGTGAGCCAGAAGGGGTCTCCCAGGCCATCTGGTCTGACCTCCAGCTCCAGCCGGCTCTGCTCACGACATGCCCACCATGTGCATGTCCAGCCTGTCCTTGAACACCTGCACCGATGGGGCCTCACCCACCTCCCGGGGAAGCCCATTCCACACCCTCGGGGTCCTAACCATCAAAAGTGCTTCCTGGCATCCAAATGGAACCTTGGCTCCCTGAGCTTTGCTCCGTTGGAGCACGTCCTGCCTTCCTCTGCAGGGGAGAACAGGTCTCTGCCCACCTCCGTGTGACACCCCCTCACATACCCGGATGTCACCAACAGATCCCCTCTGAGTCTCCTCCAGGCTGGAGAGACCCAGTTCCCTCAGTCTCACCTCATACGGCACCCCCTGCAAACCGGCCACCGACCTTGTGGCCCTGCGCTGCACTGGCTCCAACCTGGCTACATCCTTCCTGTAATGAGGGGCCCAGAACTGAGCACAATGCTCCAGCTGCGAGCGCACCAGAGTCGTATGGAGTGGCAGGAGTCCCTCTCTCTTGTCCACATCATCACCCTAAGCCTGTGACGATTTGGTGACAGAGACAACGCGTCGGCCCGCAGCAACGACACAGCAACCTCTCTCCATCTCCATCCCCGTTTCTCTTTTCTTTCAGCCACCTCGACGTTTTGGCTTTGGGGGGGCTAAAGGGCCGCCCAATCAACACACCAGGTTTACCGCATTAACTTTCACCCGGCCAGCAGCCTCCGGATGGGCTGAGCTATGACGCTGTCCTCCCCAGCCACCATGCCCTGTGGGGGATGATAGTCTTAAAGCCATACAGAGCAGAGGTCAGGCATTCTGCTCCGAGACACCATGGGCTCCACGCACCGGGAGATGAGGGTGACGGCGTGGGCGGGCAGGGGGACGTCACTGCCCCGGCCACGGACCCCCAGCGACTGGGTCAGCAAATGTGGAAGCAAGCCAGGCCATGCCAGGACAGGAACCGGCCCGGGGTCCAGGAAGGCAGCTCTGTCCAGGACCAGGGAAAGGCCTGCGGAACGTGACCGGCACACGGAAGCAAGGGGGGCCCCCGACGCGGAAGGGGGCATGCGGATTTCCCAAGCATCCCCTGTGTCAGTGGCAATTACAGAGGCCAGCGGGCATGTAACCTCCGACGCAGAGCGAACGCCCTTCGCAGAGGTGGGTGCCGCACGGTGAGCTTATCTGAGGAAGAGGTGCAACCTACTGCAATGTGGGGGGGCGGGGGGAGCATGGGGGACGCAGCTGAGCGACAGGGCACGGAAAGGAGGGCCTCACGTAGACCCTGTGGCGCCGACAGTTTATGCAACAGCTGGGAAGAGAGGCGGCTTTGCGGCAGAAGAGCCAGGGAGAGGATGTGGAGAGCAGCCTCCGAGGAATTCACTGCGCCCGCCCCCCCAGAGCCACTGGGGCGAGGGGGCGGGGGCCGCCATTCGAACAGGACCCGCTCCCCCAGGCGTCGCTTGGGACCCCAGGGCAGGAGCTTCGGGGGTGTGAGAGAGGTGTTCCAGAAGGACATTTCCGCGGGGCACTGGGTTTGTTCTCGCGCCCAGGGCACGTGCGTTTCGCGCCAGAGAGGGTGGCGCTGGCACTGGACTCGGCCAGCGGGACGATCTGCCCTCAGGCAGCGAGCACGGGCAGCGGCTGAGCGGCGTCTCACTCCGCCACGCTGGCCCCAGCCACGGACGGCCGCCAAGGGGCCGGATGCCCCTGGCTGGGGCACCTTCCAGGCACCGGCCAGCTGCTGGACGCCCTGCGCTGCCGGGGGCCTCTGCCCCCTGCCCGCATGCTGGCCCAGAGGGGAGCGGCGCTGGGCACTGCCAGGGGGAAGGGGGCAGGGAGGAAGCCCGGGAGGAAGCCATGCCTCACCTCGTCAAACGGCGCTTCATTCTCACAGTTCTCGAGGACCCGGGTGTAGAAGGAGAGACCTGCAGAAGGAGAAGGGAAAGGCAGTTGGCATCTGCGGGACCCATCAGACCTTCAAAAGCCTCGTGCAGGGGCACGGGGGGGGGCAGAGGGGGCACCGGGGTGTGACGTGGTGTCCTGCAACAGCAGGGGGTCGGACTCGATGGGCTTCATGGCCCCCTCCAACCCCGCTATTCTGCGATTCTGCGATCGCGGGAGTGCCCCTTTGATGGAGCTCATGGGTCCTGTGGGTGGAGCAGCTCCTGCTCAGGCCAAGCGCCTTGGACGGATGGACCCGCAAGGGTCTGGGCCGCACGGAGTTGTCATGAAGCCTCCACCTCCTGAGCCAGGGGGAGAGCCGGCTTGGGGGCCCGCCGGGGTGCTCAGAGGCACGCTGCCCTGAACTGGGGGAGGGGGTCCAGGCAGCCCAGCAGCGAGAAGCTGCAGAGCTCCTTCCGAAGCCGCCACAGCCCATGCGAGTTTAGGCCAAAGCGGGGAAGCACGCAACGCCCTGGCGTGCCGCCACCTGCATAAGGTCCGCCGTGGGTCCGGGGCGTCACCACCATCCCGGGGCAGTGGATTCCGTGAATCAGCTTGCGCAGCGTGATGGAGCCGAGCCATTCCGCTTGCCCTGCCGGCCAGAGTTTGCGGATGATCCCGGGCTCTGGCACCAGGAGGCGGGGAGGGGAACTCTCTTCCCGCCAGCCTTCCCAGCCCAGTGGCTGCGACCCCCACTGCTCCCGGCCCCCTGCAGCCGACCCGGGAGCCTTCTGAGGAATGCCAAAGCGTGGGTGTGTTTTTGGAATCGTGGCGATTGCCACAAAGGAATGGTGGACCCGTGGACCCTGGGTGGGAGCCAGAGCGAGGCTCTCTGAATCTGGTGGGCACTTTGGGAAATATTTCACGATGGAGCACCAAGCCTCCAACCAGAGAAGGCAGATTTCTACAAGGTGGTGCTGACAATTCCATACCTCCAACCACTAGGTAATCCTCCCTGTTTAGGCACAGCTAGCTTTTTTGCCTCTGTGATTCTTCCCTCCGAGGGCTCAGATACACAAGGCAAGGGACAGAGCAAAGGCACGGCCAGCCGTTCTGTTTTCGGAGAGATCAGCTACTGCGTCGCCTTTCCAGACTGTGTTGCCCAGTGCGAGCCGCCACTGACGAATTTCGTCCACATGGACCTCTCTCTCTGCAGCCCACCTGGCCAAACCACCCGGCCAAATTCTGGCCTCTGCTGTTCTTCCCCGTCCCCTTCTTTCAATGCCACCTCCCGAAAGCTGGTCCTCAGAAACGGTGTTGCCCAGCAGCGGGTCTAGCACAGCTTTTCCCCACGGGGCTGGTCCTGCTCTTTCGTCCCCCTCCTAAAGATGCTCCCCCGCCTCCGACTTGCCGCCTGCAGAAGACGAGACGCACGGGAGGCTGTGAGGGGACTGTGAGGAGCCATCTCTTCGCCCAGCCTTCTCCCACGCCCCCCAACCATCTGCCAATGCGGCGTGTTTGCATCATTTGACACCTTTGGGATGAATGCATCAAAGGCCCCGAGGCCGCGGCCGGGAGCAACGGGCCACACGGCCGATGGCCGGCTGGGGACCGCGAGGGCCAGAGACGCCCTTGCTCCGGAGCATCGCGCGGCAGAGCTGCACGGCCGCTGGCACGCACTTCCTCAGTTTTCCGCCTTCGAGCTTCTCTTTGATCGCTGCTTCTGCACCCGGGCAGAGAAGGAGAGGCGTGATTGGAAGGCCTCTGTTTCCACCGCTGGGTCCAAATTAACCCACTGCGGAAAGCCGGCGAGCTCCTGACGGTTATTGAAGGCGGCCGCCTCCGGCAAGAGAAGGCTGCCTGTTTTCCTGTTTTAATCTTGTTCTGCGATGCTTCTCTAATCTGCACTCAGAGCAGCAGAGGCCGCCTGCTCCGGAGAGGCTGCGGTTTGCCTTCCTGCGCCAGAAGGCCCTCGCCCCGGCCCCACTCGCTGCAGCCCCTGCCTCTTCTCACGGCCGCAGCCCCCGGTGCTGCTGGACCCTCAGAGGGGCCGGGGTGTCCCGCGGGCTGTGCCCGAGGACCTTCTCCTTGTGCCACTGGCTAGTGGGAGCCCAAAGGAGCTCTGTGGGGACACACGGTCGGGGCGCTGAACCCCCAGCGGGTCAGGCTCCGGACCCTGTGCCCCGGGGCTCCCTTGCTCCCGGGGGCTGATCACTGGATGGCCATCGGGCCGCCAGGAGCCCATTCTAAAAGGCGGGTATGGCCCCCCTAAAGCTCGGCACGGGGAGTGGGGACTTGCCCCGCTGCTATGGCTTTGCCCCGTTCCCCTCAGCCCACCCAGCACTGGGGGGCAGCCCCAGAGCCCTTCCGTGACGGGATGTAGCCTTGAGGGGGAAAGGATCCGGCACCCCGCACTGCATGCTTGATCCCGTCCACCCACCCCCTTTCCGCAGGGCGGTCCATGGGGATCCAGTGCCCCGGACCTGCCAGGCTGGCTTGCAGCTCCTTCGCCATGGGCTTTGTTGTCCCCCCTTGCCAGCTTCAGGCCCTCGGGTCTGGCAACACGCTAAACCGGTCGCTTGTTGGACTGGCCTACCCCAGCTAGCTGCTCTCCAGGCGTTTTGGACTTCAGCCCCCATCAGCCCCAGTCAGCATGGGCAGCAGAGCTGTCATCCGAAGCACCTGTGGGGCGGTGGGGAAGGACTTGCTGGCAACGGCGGAACGGGCCTGGTCAGCTGTGGCTCCTGGTCGTGGGATGATCTCCCCAGCGAGACCGGGCCAGACAAGCGCTGCCGCCTTTCCTGCCCCAGCTCGGGACCGTCTGCCCCAGCCTCTGCTGCCCTGCAGCGGGTTCTCTTTCTTTTCTTTTCTTTTCTTTTCTTTTCTTTTTTACTTATTTTCAGAAAGTACAATAAAAAGAAGAAAATGTAGGGGGGGAAGTGCCTTTCAGCGTGCAGCACCCTCGTCCGAACACAGCACAGCGAGCAAACGTCTGCCAGCCTGGGCAGTGGAGGGCGAGGGGGCTGGGCAGGGCTGGGGGCACAGCCTCGCGGAGCCCAGGGTGGCCGAGGCCCGGCAGTCACCCCCCCCCGAGGGTGCCCCGCGGCCCTCCCTTGGAACCCCTCGGAGATCCTGGCGGGAGAACGGGCGCCACGTTCACGCCTGTGAATCGCAGCCAGCCCGGCAAGCTTGCCAGATGAATCATTTCGTCCTTCTGGGACTGATTTCAAGACAGACCAGCAATCTGGTGCCTCTAGGCCAGGCCAGGCCAGCCGTGGGTGCTGCTTGCAGGGTCTGCAGATCAGAAGAGGCTGCGAGTTCTGCTTTTGGGGCACAATCTGAAGCTCATGCTGCCTGCTAGGCAGAAGAGCGGGAGACGACTCAGCTCCCTGCCCAGGCAATTCCACCGGGATCAATTCCCTCCTGGCAAAGGAGCTTTTTTCCTTCAAATGGGTGAAACCAGAACATATCTCAGCAACTGCTTGAGCTCCAGTGGGTGAGAATCAGTACAGGAGAGGGAGGGATGCTTAACCCCTTCTGCACCTGATCCTTCTTGCCATGGCCTCCCCAAACCAGGTCCCTCCCCCCCCCCCAAGGTGAATCCCCCCCAGGACCAGCACCTGGTGGGGAAAAGCAGTTAAAATCGCCACTCGTGGGGGCCCAGGGAAGCCGGCTGGAGGGGAGCTGATTCTGCAGCCCCGCAGCAACGTCCACGTGGACACCCCGCCTCCCTCGGAGCAGCTTGTCCGAGTCCTTTCGCTGGAAGGCGGGTGGGTCGCCGGCCTCGGAGCAGGAGGAGCCATTATGCTAGCGTGATGAATAACTCTAATTTCCACACTGCCAGATCTCTCTCCAAGCACCAGCAGGCTGGCAGGGGGCTTCAGGCCGCGGATTGCTGGAGGCTCAGGGAGGGAAGCTCGACCACCAGAAGGGCCGTGAATCCAGCCTGGGCTGTAGCCGGGAGGCTGCAGGTGCCACCCCTTATCTTCAAACGAGGCTCAGCACTAGGGCCAGCTCCTTAAAAGTTCAGGCTGCAACCCGTGGTGGATACGCCACCCCACTGAGGCGGGAGCCACTGGCCTCACACAGCAGGCCCAGCCCGGTCTTGCCAAAAGCTAATCCAGGGTGTGGAAGAAAATTAGCTGAAAGGTCCGCCAAGGTGGTGCAGCTCCTGCTTCTCATGAGCCCAAGTCATACCAAGGCCAAAGACCTTTAAACGAACTCGAAAGATTAAGCTTCTGGGGTGGGTAGGAGAGATTTTGCTGCTATAGTTGTTCTTCTGTAATCCCCAGAAATAAGAAACCATAAACGTTGCCACGTGGTCGCTGGAGCCGAGAAATTCGAAGAATGCTGGGAGTGGGAGCGGCGGGGCTTTTTCTACCAAGATGTGCACAGAATTGCACCCCAGGATTAAAGACACAGACTCGCAACGGGCAGAGCAGGGCTGGGGGAGACAAATTTGAGTGTGCGGCAGTCGTGGCAGCCTCAGAAACAAGCTGGGTAGCTCGGGCGAAGCCGCATCCCCTTGGCGAGGGGCCACGGCCTCCCCGGGCCTGGACACAGCCCCCCCCCCCCAGCAGGCGGCCAGCATCTTCCCCGGCGCCCCACAGCAGTCTCAGAAGAACCGTAGAATCAAAGAATGGTAGAACTGGAAGGGGCCATGGAGGCCATCTGGTCCACCCCCTGCTGGTGCAGGACACCACGTCACATCACTCCACTCAGAGGGCTGCCCGGTTTCTTCTTGAATGTTCCCAGTGTGGGAGAGCCCCCCTCCCCTCCAGGCAGCTGGTTCCCCTGTCGTGTTGCTCTGACAGTGAGGAATCTCTTCCTGATGTCCAGCCTGAATCTGGGTAGTCGCAGCTTGACTTGATTATTCCGTGTCCTGCACTCCGGCATCAGTGGGAAGAGATCTTGGCCTTCCTCTTTGGGACAGCCTTTGAAGTGCTTATAGAGGGACCTCATGTCCCCCTTCAGTCCTCTCTTCTCAGGGCCGAACATCCCCAGTTCCCTCAGTCCCTCCTCACAGTGCTTCCAAGCCCTGGAT